CTCTATTATTACTATTATTATTATTATTATTATTATTATTATTATTATTATTATTATTATTGTTATTATTATTATTATTATTATTATTATTATTATTATTATTATTATTATTATTATTATTTATTTTTCATTTATACGGTTTAAAACTTTGGTCAAATTATAGTACGCAACATTTTCCATCAGTTCTTCCTACTGTACTTTATCAGTGCTTGTAATTCAATATACCCTTTTAATTATTATTATCATTATCATTTAAATTCATAGCATCATTAATCTCCCAGTGCCTTTGCTTCTTACCAACACTTTGAATAAGAATTTCAAAAAAGATCTAGAAAATGTAAAGTTTACCATTATGTTTGCTTATATTTTTGCTGTTTAATTTGAAAAAAAAAAGTTCAGATTCAAAAAAATCTTAAAATTCAAAAATTTTTTAAATTTGAATTTTTTTAAGCTTGAAATTTTTGAACTTGGATTTGCATTAAATTTAATTTGAATTTTTTTTGATTTTTTTCAAAAATTCAATGTTCAAAAAAGTTCAAATAGAAAGACTTCGCTTTCTGATGTAAACAATCCATTATTTCGAACTGGTCGAATGTTAGCTAATGCAAAGCAAATAATTAAAATAATTCGCATTTAACAAATTAAAGCTAAATTAAGTTCAAGTTATGCAATAGAAAATGAAATAACTGAATGGAAAGTATGATGTAGTTTTAATTGTTTTATCAGTTTTACTTGTTCTTTCTGAAATAAGCTCTTCAATATTTAATTAATCAATCAGTCTTACTTATTATTTTAGTAATACTATGGACACCGAAATACTTATATATGTCAAAAAAAGACAACTGATTATATCGTTCTAATCATTCGGATAAATAAGCTGAAAATCCGTTCACATAAATTATTTCCACAAATTTGATAAGGTAATCAAACTCCGCCACAGTATTTTACAAATTTGATAAGACAATCAAACTCCGCCACAGTATTTTACAAATTTGATAAGACAATCAAATCCGCCGCAATATTTTACAAATTTGATAAGACAATCAAACTCCGCCGCAATATTTTACGAATTTGATAAGGTAACCGAACTCCGCCGAATTTGATAAGGTAATCACAACTGCGCCACAATATTTTACTAAATTTGATAAGATAACCAAACTCCGCCATAATATTTCACAAATTTGATAAGGTAACCAATCTTTGCCCTCAATTTTTCCAATAAACATATCGTAGTAGTAAGGTGGAATGAATTTTTGTGAAATTTTCTTTTTTAAATTTATAAAATTTCTTGTTTATGCATATAAACTTATAATTATTTTCTTTCCAACACTGAACTATAAATTGTGTAAACATTTGATTAAAATGTCTTTTTTTTTTCTTCGTTTCACAAATAAAAAAAAAAAAAAGCTCATAATATAGCAAAAAAAAGAAAAAAAAAAATAACAGTTAATTAATATTAGCCATAAGTGGTGATAGAAATAGTGAAATAAAATTAAAATAATATTTCTCTTTTTCTAATCTTCCACACTTATTTACAATCATTTAATTAATTAACTGATTCAAATAGAGAAACTAAGGGAAAAAAAAAGATCAACGCTTTTTTCGATTGCAAGAAAAAGAGGGGAAAAAAGAAAAAGAAAACTATCAATTTCAAGATTTTACAATAGCAGCACACGATTGACGACAATCATTAATCATAATCGTAATCATGATTATAGTAATAATATGATTATAATAATAATAAAACGACGATACAATTCAAAGCAATTAAGCTTCGTTTTTTTTTTTTTTCTTCATGAAAAAAAAAATCATATCTCATGATAACATGATAGCAATAATGATAACAATAATAATGATGATAACAGGAGTAATATTAAAGCATATAATTATTATCATATAATATAATGTATGATTATAATTTAGTTATCAATATAAATGTAACTTTTTCATGAGAGAAAAAAAAAAAGGAAAGGATAAATTACAAAGATGAAATTTAAATCGTTAGAAAGAGCATAAGAAAAAAAAATTTTAATGAAGACACAAATAGATGAAGGCGATTTTTTCCAGCAAAATATTTTACAATATAAAGGAAAAAAAATTTAATTATTTAAATTTAAGTTTAAACCGAGAAAAAAAATGCAAAACAAAAAAAAAAAAAACACCTTTATATATTTCATTATGATTTTTGTATGTCGTACGATAAGTAAATAATTTTTTTCTTTTTTTAAATTCGAAAAATAATTAGCTTATATTTAATTGTTATAATGTTATTTCTATATTAATTTAAACACTTTATCATACTGCTAAAAAAAAATATCTATTACTATTTGAATTTAGAATTTAGTACTATTAATTTTAATTTAATTTTCAAATTTTAAATTTCATCTTTTTCAAAAAATTATCCAATTTTTAATTAAATTTTTTTTGTCCATATGTACAATGAAAACTAGCAAAATTATGGTATATTGAAA